TTCGTTTTGATCCCAGAAATTGCCTATTTGATGGTTTCGTGACAGTTTTTGACATCTTCCTCTGTCCTCCTTTCCTTTTCTTCTTCGTTTTTCTCATTTCGCAAATCGCTTCTTTTGTTCAGAGATGTGTCCTTCGCACTATTGATCGCCTCAGACCACCACGCTACCGTAATCGATGTCGCTTAGGAGTGAGATTCCCATTCAGCTGCCTCCATTAACCTGGTTCATAAAAAGGAAGGGGGTCTTATTCTGAGCGTCAGCCAGATTTGCCATGATCTGATATTCCAGTTAAGTAAATTCACAAAACATAAAAGTTGGGGGGGGGACCGTTGCGCGGCATAGTCGATTTAGCTGGGATTACTGATCGATGCTGCTGCCAAATCAACTATGATTATCAGCTTCTTTTTCTTTCCTTCATTGACCAATAGGGCTCAGATCTAGACGGGGCCAGAGTTTACCTCAGACAATTTTTCACAGCTTCAATTCTTCATGATCTCGTGGTCGGCCGTTTCGCTTAAGCGGTTTTTGAGGGAACGCGTCCATCTCAACGATCCCTGCTTTTTATTGCGTTCGGCTGCCGACAACATTGTTTTTGCCAGCTCGTTCACTTTTTTCCCCGCTTGCCTCTCTAGATCTTCGTAATTTTTGTGTGCGGTGATTTTTCATCGCCACCCAAAAGCTGGCCGGTCATCGGCGAAAGTCCCAAAGGACTAAGAGACAACGATGAAGCTTCAGCGGCCAGTGGTGGCATGCCGAGGAGGATTTTGTAGTTTTTCTGCTCGAAATTCGCTTCCTCTCTACGAGTTGCAAGAGAGGAGCTTCTCTCTGCCCCGTTCACTCTCTCCCTCTGTGTGTCAGCTCTCGCCATCTCCCCCCGTTCAACTCTGCCTTATCCGCTTCACTGCTGCCGCTTTTCGTGAACGGCGGCGTCATCGAGAGGTTTTTCCCAGTGAAATGTTGCGATAATCTTAGTAGAGGTTTTTGATGTTCTAGAGCCGGCGTCGATAGCTTTTTTTCGCCCACTGCTCTCTGAATTACTAGTAAGTGGCGATTTTACGAATAGCCTGTCAATCGGGACAAAACCCCCCTCAGCACTAATTCTAGCCCTTTTCTCCAAGAACGGTCCGATTCTATACCCTTATTCAGGCACGAGAGCAACATCTTACTCACTTACCTTCCACCATTTCGTAACCTGATTCAATTCGTTGAAATAGTGTATAATCACTGAAAGAATGGTTTTTTCCGTAATCAATCTTATCTATTCCGTCTTAGCAGTCATCAATAACTTCTTTTCTCTTGACCATTCTTCAAAAACACCTAGCTGAGCAGAAATTAGACAACGCGACATTTTCTATTATAGAAAACCCTTTTTGGGACGGCTATTCGTTTTTTGAACTTTTTACGCCCGCCATCTCACTGAACACTTTTCTTCAGTGTTTCTCGTTTTTTTTTCTCTCCCAGTCCCATTTCAAGGCCATTCTTTATGGCCTTGCCATCAGAAAAAAGGCTTTCTACGATCATGAAATCTTCATGCTACCCGCAGGATTTATGTCATAAGAGCTTTTTTCTGAGCTAGTGGAATCCACCGGTGTACAAGCTGTCTGCGTTATTTTACTCTCAATACGACGCTGAATTTAGCGCTTGTCTTCTAGGCGGACTTCTCTATAAGCAGGATTGGAACCTCGTGTTTGAGCCCTCAGTCTACTCGAGAGAATCCTTTTCCTGGGAATCTTTCAGTTCCGAGATTCTCTTTTAAACCCGGCCAATTTTTTCTCGCGAATGTCCGTTCGAGTCCGTAAAAATGAGATCAGCGAAGAAATTTCTCGTCTAGCACGTCTTCTGTTGGCAGCGTCACGTCGCCGTTGACGACACCTTCAGACGCACGTTGTCATCTTTATTGAGCAGACTCGTTTTGCGTGTTGCCTTGGCTCTATTGATCGCCTCTAGTGATGGAATATGGGGCTCGCACCACGTCGACAAGCTGGTCGCTTTTGTCCGATAAGACCGTTCAAACATCGTATCGATCGATGTTCAAATCGATTATTTATTCGTTGACAAAAGACCGGTTTCTTCATCTTCCAAAGCCACACAAACACACACACACAGGCTCTACGCCGAAGGCAGTGACTGAGTTGACTGGGTCCTGATACAGCTGGGTGTTCGTTGGTCCCCGAAAACGCTCTCCCCCTTCGTCGTCGTTTAGCGCACGTCGTCCGACTACAGTACCCCGCACTCGACGCGTATCTCTCGATGTGTCTGCGAGTGAGAGAGCATGAGAGTCGAGGGCTAGAGAGTGGGGTTGAGTGCGAGTGAGTGAGTGAGTGGTCATGTGTGCTCTTCAGCTGCTGCGGACAGAGACACACTATTGCCTCAGCCGCGTTGCCCGAGGTCCTTTAAAATGGGTCGTGATCGATTGAATTGAAGTCTTCGGAAGAAGTCGAAGAAGTGTCGTGTGGTGGGGTGAACGCGGCCAACGTCGATGAGCCGCCATCTTTGGATCACGTCGTCCGGCTGGCGACTGTCACTCGCACCTCGACTGTCGTGCACAAACGTTTTTCTTTGTCCACTTGTGTGCTGCCATCGATTTTGCCAGAGAGGCGAGAACGAAAAAACCGATGCGCTGCCGGCGATATCCGGTTTCGAGGCATTATTGATTATCGAGTCAGAGCGGTGGTGGGGTTGGTGACGGTGTTGGTGCTGACATCGAATTGTTCGGGGGGAAAATTTTCACATCAGCACCTCACAGACGGTGATTACGGTAGCGAAGGGCATGCGGGTGTGCGTATGTGTGTGTGTGTGTGTGCAGTGCAGGGAATGTGATCGAAATCAGCGTGGTGAAGTGGCTAGTTCATCATCGCCGTCACTATCGCCTCTCACACATCGCTGAGCTCGTCTCGACCAATAACACTTCTGAAGTCCTTGTGCTACAGATTTCTGATTCGACGAGGACACTGTGCAGACCGCCCTTTTTTCCGCTGCCATTGGGCGGCGTCGAGTTCCGGCTAGCGCGCGTTTTTCAGCCGGTTGCGACATGACTCGGCCGTTCAACGAGGCTTTTTCTCTGGGTTTTTCTCCTCTCGCGGCTAAGAACCAAACACATTTCACTTTCATCGCTTTCTGAAAATCATATGGGTAATCCTCCCCAAATGTAAGCACCAATACCTACTCGGAATGGGTTTTTGAGTTCTAGAGCCCACCTAAATCAAAAAATTGCACAGGGTGAAGTTTACGAGCTTCACTTTGGACCATCGAAATTCTTTGCTTTATATCATGCTATCAAGCAGAATTTTTCGGTGCAGCGTCTCGTGGTTACGGTAGTAACACGAAAAACAACTGAAATTTTCCCTTAATGTCTTTCAGTTTCGTTGATTCGGACCTTTGTGTGTGTGAACTTTCTACATATACATGCGGATTATTTTCTGCACGTCGTCGGAAACGAGAGCCTTTCAAATTAACTTCTCTGCGTCTCTCTGTCCCCTAATGGTGTTTAGAGCCGTGACAGAGTAGCTCTAAACTCTCCCCGAATTTACACGCTACTTTTGATATGCTGGCGTTTTGTCGGCTAGCAACGCTTTTTCACTACTTTATTTGTTTCTCTCTCTAGGGCGGGGTGTTTCTGCTCTCAGCTGCGTTTCCTCTGTGAATGCGGCTCACTCTCTAACCTGCTCAATGTCCTCAACTTTGCTCACTAGGCGTTGCTCTGCGATGTCATCATCGAAGCCGCGGGGTTTCCCCCGTCCAAGCCACACTGCCCCCGACTGATGGCGGTTGAAAGTTGCTCGGGTTATCTTATTCTGTTTCAGTATGCACTTGACTGGTCCTAAACTGTTTTTCACCTGAATTTACACCTGGCTGTCGGCGGCAACCGGCGATGTGAAGACGAATTGCCTTCATCGCTTTGACGGGGCGACGTCGCAGCACAAAAACCCCCATGTCGCAACCGTTTTGGCTCCGTTTAATTGAAAATGGAACATTTTGTGGTGGATTGGAGTAAGGGGGTGATTGGATGTTTCTCTATGAGTATGCCACGATCCTCTCTTAGAGCCCTTACCTACCCAACTCGAAGTAGAACTCAACCAAATACGTATGCACGCGTGAGCGATGCTGCTGTTCGGCATGTCATGGGTAGACCTTATGGATGCCAATGCCTGAATATGCACCCTGCCCAGTAGTACACGCAAGCACACCCACACACACGTAGCGCACGTAATGGCACAAGTACGCGTAGAACGCGTCATTGGCACAGGTTACGGTACCGCGCGCGTTGTGTCGCGCTATCGTCACTGGTCGAGTCGGCGCGGACAGGTAAGGCCAGGCCACCTAGAGGGCTCTGTCCGTACCGAAGACGAGCGCCACCACCACCACCGTCACCACACTAACACACGCACGCACACACACACGCACATACACACACATACACACACGCACACACACATACGCGCACCGCGTAGAGCACCGCCCACTGTCTTCTCTACACCCATTGTGAGTCGCCTGTTCTTATGTCTGTATTTGGCCTTCTGTTCTCGTTTCTTCAGAAATCTCACTTTCTCGCGCCAATGAGGTCCGCTCAACCGCGACCGAACGACTTTCTGCTTTTTGCGGATTGAATTGAGTAAAAAGAACTGCATAGAACTGCGCGTTGCCGAGTGAATGTTCGAATTGATTGCGGTTTTTGGAATTATGGGTGGGCCTTTCCTCGCCAAGAGAGCCATCAAAACGTGACTGAGACCTTTTTCAGCGGGTCCCACAGTCATCGATCCAGGTCAGCAGTGTTTATAGGAAAAAAAGGCTCTTGAAAGCGGACATCGTCTGCGCTGTTACGATCTCAAAAAAACTACCGTATAGATTACTCAGCCAACAGTTTACTCTTTTTAATATCTCCTACGTTTTTGGCCACCTTCAAGAGAATTCCCAGCTTCCAACCTCACTGAGGTCGAGAGATGGTCGATCTGCGTTTATGAAACTCTTCCGGGAAGGTGCTTAGGAAGTGGTCCTTGAGAATGTTCGACTTATTGGAGACAAAACTACCCACATCGCATGAATGCGTTGAGAGGTAGGGATTGAACAGATCCCAGGACTTGCAATAAGCGCAGTAAAGGTCATAAGGATCATAGGAGCTTAATGCTCAGGTGATTCCCCTTTCGAAAAATGCTCTAAAGAGTCTGTCGAGCAACCCCTTCGCATGGATGCGTTCAATGCTCCGTATGAGGACCGATCCATTGAACATTTCTCAAGGGGAGGGGTCAAATTAGTTCTTCCGGGAAGGTGCCGTACCGGGTGGAATCAGCACAGCATCTTGGAGGCCATGTGGAATAGGTTCTTCATCAAGTTGCGCAATTACGAGAAAAAGTTTGGCATTTTTCTTGGACTATGTGACTTTTGGAGCTTTTATAAGGTTTTACTGATTTATCACCTTTTTCTTCACCCTCTCTCGTAAATGGATGACAGGCAGTAACCAGAGGTGGAGCAGTAAAAGAGTAAGGACTAGAAGTGGTCTATGGGAACTCGTGCAAGGTGGGGGTGTCATAACTGATCACGATTTTAGCTCAGCCCGACTCTCGATCCTACCTAACATCGTTTGCCCATCTTTTAGCCAGTGAATCATTTATGCAAATTCGGGTTACAGAGGGTAGTAGTAGGTCGTCATTTATAGTGAAGATCAAATCGGTACTGCCTTCCAGCCTCTTCTCTAGCTCTTCTTCCTTCCATTCTTCTCCGCTGCCTTCAAGGCTAGGGCTTCCCAGAGCGTCAAGCGCTGAGCTACTGTCGCATAGTGGCAATTTCTTTCGTGCTCGTAGTTTTCGCTGCACTTCTGACATGGTCGTCGTCGTCGTTGGTGTTGTACATTGACCAAATTTGGTTCTGGTTTTCTCCACACAAAACTTCTACACCCAAACGTGTCGTCGCACACGCGGCCATTTCTCGCCGCCCAGGCGACGTGTGTCCTCATGAGCGCCGAGAAATTCCGCCGCTGCTGCTGCTGTGTGGAGATTTCTCATCGAGTAGTGTCGTTGTTGCGTGTGCTCCAGAAAAAAAAAGCGTGTGGTGCTCAGCGTTCGTCGAGCTGCAAATGCACGCAGCTGCTCGCATTGCACTTGTTTTCATGGAAATCAGCGGGACCCAAGTATAAAGTGAAGTAAAAAGACGAAAAATCGCTATTTCTCCCGTTCCTTCACCTTTCTTAGCCGCACTGTCGCGGTTTGGCTAGTCGTGTTACCCTAGAGAGTCCTGATTACGGTGAATAACGCGCGACCATTTACGCTCTGTTTAACATGACTGCACATTTCCTTTCATCTAATGTTGCAATCCCGAGAGCTCCCCATTAGGTACGCTGGCGTTAAATTTCACTTGGAGCTTAAATCAATTTTCTTTGCTAAACTTAAAATTT